GTACTGTGGCAGTGGCAGGGTGTCTTGCTGCAGCAAGGTGGCCAGTGTGCTGGTGCTGTCAGTTGGAGGCTGGCTGGCAGGGCAAGGTCTAGGGAGGTGGCCAACCACTGGTGACACCAGTTGGGGGGCTGTGTGGTAGGCCACACCTGTTTCCAGGGGCCCAGTGAGGTGGCCAGTGATGCTGGTGCTGTCAGTCAGGGAGCTGGCTAGTGGGGGGCAATTTTGATTTGATTTTTGTTTATGGTGAGAGTCAGGGATCTAGTTTCAATCTTCAGAATGTGGATGTCCAGTTTTCCCAGCACCATTTGTTGAACAGGCTGTCCTTTCCCCTCTGTATATTCTTAGCACCTTTGCAGGTGCTGTAAGTCAGTTGCCTGTGAGATGAGGGTTTATCTCAGAGCTCTCTCTTCTATTCCATTGGTCAATTTGTCTGGTTTTATGCTGGTGCCCTCTTCTATTCCATTGGTCAATTTGTCTGGTTTTATGCTGATGCTGGTCTGATTATTATAGCTTTATAGTATATTTTGAAATTAGGCAATGTGATGCCACCAACTTTGCTATTTTTGCTTTCTTTTTCTTTTTCTTTTTTTTCTTTTTCGTGACCAGTAAGGGGATCACAACCCTTGGTGTGGTGTCGTCCACAACAAGCTCAGCCAGTGAGCGCACCGGCCATTCCTATATAGGATATGAACCTGTGGTGGGAGCGTCACTGCACTCCCAGTGCCGCACACTCCCGAGTGCGCCACGGGCTTGGCCCTGCTTTCTTTAGCTATATGGGGTCTTTTGTGGTTCCATACAAATTTTAAGATCAGTTTTTCTAAATGATCAATGTCATTGGTATTTTGATAGGGATTGATTTGAATGTGTAGATTGCTATGGGTAATATGGACATATTGATGATGTTAATTATTTCTACCCATGAACATGGGATGTCTCTCCATGTATTTGTATTCTGTTCAATTTTTTTCACCAGTGTTTTATAACTTTCACTCCAGAGGTCTTTGCCCTCCTCAGCTATATTTGCTCCTATATAATTTTTCTATTTTTGGTAGCTGTTGTGAATGGGATTACTTTCTTGATTTCTTCTTTGGCTATTTTGTTATGAGCATATAAGAAGGCTGTTTATCTTTGTATGCTTATTTTGTATCCTGCCACTATGCTGAATTCACTTTTTTTTTTTTGTCTTTTTCCATGACCGGCAACGGATCGCAACCCTCAGTGTTGCGTCCGTACTGGACCGGGACTGGCAACAGGATCGCAACCCTCGGTGTTGCTCCCGCACCTCGCTCAGCCAGTGAGCGGCTGGGCTGTATGTGGGATCCGAACCCTCAGCGGGAGTGCCGCAGCACTCCCAAGTGGCGCACTGTAGCAGTGCGCCACTGGGCCAGCCCCTGAATTCACTTTTTATTTCTAGTAGTTTTTTTGTATAGTCTTTAGGGTTTCCTTGTATAGGGTCATGTCATCTGCAGATAAGAATAGTTCAACTTTCTCCTTTCTGATCTGAATGCAATTTATCATTTTCTCTTACTTTTTTGTGTAAGTGGCTAGAACTCCTAGTGTTATATGTAATAAAAATGGAGAATGTAGGCAGCATTGTCACCTTCTTGATCCTAGAGGAAAATCCTCCA